AGTTATATGCATAACTTTGCAATTTTCTATGAAACTATGGTGATAAATTTATTCCGCAAAATATTATACATAAAAGTTATGTGCATTGCTTTGTAACTTTCTAAAAAATTATGATGATAAGTTTTATTCCGCAAAATATTATATATAAAAGTTATGCATAACTGTGTCACATAGTAAGTTATATGTATAAGTTATACATGTAACTTTGTCACATTGTAACTTTCTAAAAAAGAAAAGTTGTAGAAATATTTTTTGTCAAAAATGGAAAGTCACGAAGGTGTAGGATCTGCTGCTGGCTCACTCTGTGACTTTCTAGAAAAAAAAGTTGTGAAAATATTTTTTCTAAAAATGGAAAGTTGAAAGAGAGGTAGAATCGATCGCTGGTTTCCAAACCACTGATCATTTGCTGATTAGCAGGACTGCTAAAAAACCCCGCTCTCCACTACTGCTTGTTTAATCGTCATCAAATCACTTCTCGGCTGCTCCCCAACCTACTTATCCATCAGAATCAGTCCATCAGAGAATCAAAAAGTGAAGTTCAAGAACCGGAAGGTGGTGTTCTATGAAACTAGCCCTAAAATTCACTCGCTGACCTTTGGACATGTTATGATTGTAATGAAACACACAAGATGAGAAAAATTAGATTGCAAAAAGTGGCAAACAAATATTTTTAGCTAACAAACACACATACTAAATAAAATTTGGGCCCATTTCAAGTAACAACGACCAGCTGACATCCATCGGCACGTCAGCACGTGAATTCTACTTGGACCTTGTCTCTTTTATTTTTTCCGGAACTCGAACAAATTTTTAGTTCAATTCAAGTATTCAACCTCTAGGGTCCACGGCCCCGCCAGAATTGAATGAACGCCAAAACAATGCACATGATGCTCCCTCTGTTCAAATCACGAAATCTATGCTCGTTGAGATCATGCCTTAACGTCACATAGTTTTCCCATTTCATCCCGTCTTGGAGATCATGTAGAATAAAGAGAGACCTAATGCCCTACATGTTATCATCTCTGTCCAAGTAAAGCCCTGTTTGGTATTGGACTCCGATGTTTTTGTTTTTGAAGTGAAGTCTTGTTGCTTAAGAAATGGATGGTTGTACGCGATAAGCGTAAGAGGGAAGATACTATTTTTTTTACTACAAACAGTGAAGGCACGTAAACGTAACTTCTTTGACTTCAACTTCTTGAGCGAAGCCGGTTACAAACAAACCCTACCAAACATGGTCTAGAAATATGACGTTTTAGAGTTGCAAAAAAGAAGCTTGTTTGTGCAGGTTTTTCTAAGTTGAAGCATCCGATTTATCTGACTAGTGGTAATATTCCTACGATATATCAACATGGCATGACTACAAGAACTCAAAAATGTACACAAAAGTTCCAAAAGACTCCAATGAGCACTAATGGCATGCTTTGCTCTCTGATCTTCAAATGCAACAACGAGGATAACAAGAATCACTTTTCCATTATCGAGATGGAGTAGGGATGCGGATCGTTGATATCACTCATATTATATTTGTTTTCATATGCCGGATTCGGACACGGAAGCGTTCGGATACATATAGAATATGGATTTCCCGAATAATGAGTTCGAATCCGGTATGAATCGGATTCGGAGAAGGTCGGATACAAATATCTATTCGGATATTGAGCATATATATATATATATATACATATGCAAACCATTACACCACTCTATGAGTCCATAATCCATCTAGATTAAGCCGAAAGACTAAAGAGTAAAGCAACAAATAAGATAAAGATACAGATACATCATACATCAAACATCATATAAGCACCAATCTTGGCAAGCATGTAGAAATAGCCAAGCACATTGCTTCATGGGTCTCATAGAGTCATGGTCATGGATTCAAGATCTACAATCCTTATATAGGCCATTTTTTCATTTTGAGAAAATTTGAACAAAATGTAGTTCAAATTTCACAAATGTGTGACATAGTTTTAGAAAGTCTATATGAGATTTAAGAATTTGTGACTAGTGTTTGATAAAACTTTCTCAAATGGGAAAATGAGCTATGTAACAATTGTATATCTTGCTGAGATGATCAAACTTGGTATTCAGAGTTTTTTCATCTGAGGTCATTTAGTGTCTCATTTGAGCAAGTTTGACCAAGTCAAATTTGGTCAAATGAAAAAACAACACTTTGACTCTAGTATTATGAACTCTAAATGACTTCAAATTGAAAAGTTTTGAATACCAAGTTTGTTCAACTCATCAAGATCTACAATTCTTGTTTTGGTCAACTTTCCATTTGAGATAGTTTGGACGGTTTAAATTTGTGATTTTTAAATTTCGATGCTTACAAACTAAACAAACCCTAGATTGTCTCAAATTGAAAAGTTTTGAATACCAAGTTTGTTCAGCTCAAGATACAATATATAGGTTATTTTTCATTTGAGAAAGTTTGAACAAAAAAAAAAGTGTGTGATTGAGAAAGTCATGAGATTCAATAATTTTGACTAAGTTTGATAAAACTTTCTCAAATGGAAAAATGAGCTATGTAACAATTGTATACTGAGATGATCAAATATTCAGAGTTTTTTCATCTGAGGTCATTTATCTCATTTGACAAGTTTGACCAAGTCAAATTTGGTCAAATGAAAAAACAAACTTTGACTCTAGTATTATGAACTCTAAATGACTTCAAATTGAAAATTTTTGAGTACCAAGTTTGTTCAACTCGTCAAGATCTACAATTCTTGTTTTGGTCAACTTTCCATTTGAGATAGTTTGGACGGTTTAAATTTGTGATTTTTAAATTTCGATGCTTACAAACTAGTTTTGAACCCTAGATTGTCTCAAATTGAAAAGTTTTGAATACCAAGTTTGTTCAGCTCATCAAGATCTACAATCCTTATATGGCTATTTTTTCATTTGAGAAAGTTTGAACAAAATGTAGATTTCTGACATAGTTTTAGAAAGTCTAAAGATTCAATAATTTGTGACTAGTGTTTGATAAAACTTTCTCAAATTGGAAAATGAGCTATGTAACAATTGTATATCTTGCTGAGATGATCAAACTTGGTATTAGTTTTTTCATCTGAGGTCATTTAGTGATTTGAGCAAGTTTGACCAAGTCAAATTTGGTCAAATGTTGACTCTAGTATTATGAACTCTAAATGACTTCAAATTGAAAAGTTTTGAGTACCAAGTTTGTTCAACTCATCAAGATCTACAATTCTTGTTTTGGTCAACTTTCCATTTGAGATAGTTTGACGGTTTAAATTTGTGATTTTAAATTTCGATGCCAAACTAGTTTTTGGAACCCTAGATTGTCTCAAATTGAAAAGTTTTGAATACCAAGTTTGTTCAGCTCATTAAATCTCACTTATATCTATTTTTTCATTTGAGAAAGTTTGAACAAAAGGTTCAAACTTCACAAGTGTGACATAGTTTCGTAAAAATCAGGAGATTGAATTTGTGACTAGTGTTTGATAAAACTTTCTCAAATTGGAAAATTATGTAACAATTGTATATCTCTGAGATGATCAAACTTGGTATTCAGAGTTTTTTTCATCTGAGGTCATTTAGTGTCTCATTTGAGCAAGTTTGACCAAGTCAAATTTGGTCAAATGAAAAACAACACTTTGACTCTAGTATTATGAACTCTAAATGACTTCAAATTGAAAAGTTTTGAATACCAAGTTTGTTCAACTCATCAAGATCTAAATCAACTTTCCATTTGAGATAAGTTCTGATTTTAAAAAAAAATAGATAATATCCGTTTTTAAATATCCGGATATAATCTTACATTATCCGATACACGGAATCGATGATATACATCCGTATTTGATATCCGCCTAAGATATCCGTTTTAGTATCCGTATCCAGAAAAAAAAAACCGGATATCCGAGTAACTATCCAGATAAGTGTTCATATTTGTTCGGTCGAACGGACGGTCGAATAAATATCCGTACCGTTTTCATCCATAGATGGGAGTGAAAAAACTCTGTTGTACATTGCTTCCTGTTCAATCACTTCCCAACTGCTCCCCAGCATACTCCACTAAAATCACTCTATCAGAAAATGAAGGAGTGAAAGTTTAAGATTCAGGAGGTGGGGTTCTACGAAACTAGCCCTGAGATTCACTCGCTCTGGACCTCTGGTCATGTTATGCTTGTGATGAAAACGCACAAAATGAGAAAAATAAGATTGCAAAGGAGCCAAAAAATCATTCCAAGCTAAAAAAACAAGGCACATAATCACAGAAAACACAATCATATAAATTCCTATTTTGAGGAACAAAAACACAATGACAAAAAGTACAACAACTACTAACTCACATTCATTTTTTTAGGCGACTTTGGCGCAACAAAACAAACAAACGAAGACTGAGTAACTTGTCATGTTTTTTTAGCGCAACGAAAACAAAGTTGATGTTACAGCGTGATAGAGTCCTCCTTCCCTCCCTCCGTTGTGGGGATCCGAATCGAACGGCGACAGAGCAAGGAGCAGCGGTGTCGACAGGGACCCTCCACCGGCCGCTATAAAAGCCTCCCTGAGAGGCCGGCGGGCTGCCCTGCTGAGTTCTCACCCGACCCGGTGGCGGAGGCAGCCCCCAAAAGCCCGCAAGCCAAATTCCCCAACCCACACCACCTCCACACTCCAGTAAGCTCCCCGCCTCCTCCCCCTCGATCTCCCTCCTCCAATTCGTTCTGCTTCTGCTGCTGCAACTGAATCGAATCGCTCCACTGCTACTACTACTACTACTAATATCTATATACTACTACTACTACTGCTTGCTCCTGTTTCAATCGATCAATCAATCATGCCGCGCGTAGGTTTTTTCCGGCGCAAAGGTAACGAACGATCACGAGCCCCGGTTTCCCGACCCCCCGCCGCCAGATCCGCAGCGATTCCGTCCGCCGGACGCGAGTTCCCGTGTGTATTTTCTTCCCGTGGATTTTGGTGCTGATTTTTTGGGGATTTTTTTTTTTTGCCTGGTCTAGGGTTAGGGTTTGTCGGCGGCGATGTCGGATCGGCAGCCGTCGGAGGAGCCGGAGGAGCAGGTGGACTTGGAGGGGGACGACGACGGCATGGACGACGACGACGGCGGGTACCGCCGCCGCGGCAGCCGGGACGACTCGGAGGAGCCCGAGGAGGACGACGACAATGACGAGCGCCACGGCGACGGCGACGGCCGCGGGGACGACGACGCCGGGATGGAGCCGGAGCCGGCAGGAGGAGGCGGAAGCGGAAAAGGCGGGGACGAGACGGGCAAGGGGGCCGACGCCGCCGAGGGTAGCGGGCCCGAGGACGAGGAGGAGAGGAGCAAGTGGGACGAACTGCTCGCCCTGCCGCCCCATGGCTCCCAGGTCTTCATTGGCGGCCTGCCCGCGACACCACGGAGGACGACCTCCGTGAGATGTGCGAGCCGTTGGGAGAAATCTACGAGGTCAGTTTCACGCGTCACACGAATCGATCCTCTTGTTTCTTACCGTCAGCTTGTTACATGCATGGAGTTGTAATGTGCGTCTCTGTGCGGCGAATCGAATGGCAGGTGAGGTTGACCAAAAAGGACGCCAACGAGAGCAAGGGGTTCGCCTTTGTCACCTTCAACGACAAGGACGCGGCGCAGCGTGCCATCGAGGATATTCAAGACAGGGAGTACAAGGTACCTACTAGCACAGCCCTCCGAGCTGCCAATTGTTCTGCATAACATGAGTTTCTGCATTCTGTCATGTGTTCTGCGCAATGTGTTTATATCCGGTGGTTTTTGGTGCTGCAGGGGAGGACTTTGCGGTGCTCTGTGTCGCAGGCAAAGCACAGGCTGTTTATTGGGAATGTGCCCAAGGGGCTGAGCGAGGAGGAGCTGACCAACATTATCAAGGGGAAGGGGCCAGGTGTTGTCAACATTGAGATGTTTAAGGTGTGCTTTGCGGTTTTATGCTTGTCTGTCTTTACAGCATGAGTTCTAGATTCACTAATAGTGAGATGCTGTTGCACAGGATCAGCATGACCCGAACCGTAACCGTGGCTTCCTCTTTGTTGAGTATTATAACCACGCCTGTGCAGAATATGCCAGGCAGAAGCTTTCATCACGAAGCTTCAAGGTTGATGGGAGCCAATTGACTGTTAGTTGGGCTGAACCTAAGGGTTCAACAGATCCTTCATCTGCAGCTGCTCAGGTAGACATTTGTGCTAAAAAGAAAATTTCAAATTCTATATGTATTGTTATATTTCAAGTTTTATTAGGCCTTTTGGTTTTGCAATGTTAGGCTTATGCAAGTCTGCCTATCGTTCTAGATGAATTGGGCAATTTGGATGTCAATGAATTTCTGTTTCCCTTTTCTGCTGTCATAATCTGGTAGGAACCAGATGTAGATGTGGCCACTGGAAAATGGAAAACAAAAGAAGTATCAAGTATTTGGGGCTTAATGGTTGTATTTGTTGATTAGTCATTTCTCATTTGGATAGTTCGATAAAAGGTTTAGTGCCTTTTATCAGGCCTGAGTTTATAGTGTTAGTGCTATGTGGGCATGATTTGTAGTGCATAACCTCCTTTTAGATTGCTTAGATAGCTGTAGGTTGTATGTTGTGCCTTGGTCAACCAGGCAGTTTATCTTGGAAGTTCTCTGTGTTTAGTGGTAATATGTTTCTGTATTGTCAGACATGAATCTTAGAGTCTTACATTTTATATTGATTGGGATATATTGAAGAATAGATATTCTAGTCTAAAGAAAAACCCTCATCTGGTTGCTTGTGAAGTCCAGTACCATGCAAGAGCTAGAATGTTTATTCAGCATTTTAAGCATTCTTTCCATAATGTATGCTGAAAATACATAATTATATAAATGAATTACGAATTGAGTGCTTCATGTGAATTCTCAAGAAATCATTGTGCAAAAATTATTGTTGATTGTGTAGACTTACAAGTTAATGTATTGATTGACTTGCCATTGGTTCAACATGTGCTAGCTGTATACTTTTATTAGATTAGATGTGTGTCCTGTTTGTTTAGAACAATCTTGGCTTGTAATTTTTCATATGCAGAAATTTACACTCAGTCCTTTCCTTTTGGCTGTGGATTTTAATATTTGTTACAATTTCACAGGTGAAGACTATATATGTGAAGAACCTACCTGAGAATGTTTCTAAAGAGAAGATCAAGGATCTGTTTGACAAACATGGAGAGGTCACAAAAATCGTTCTGCCTCCTGCCAAGGCTGGGCATAAGAGGGATTTTGGCTTTGTTCACTTTGCTGAGAGATCAAGCGCCCTGAAGGCAGTTAAAGGAAGTGAAAAATATGAAATTGATGGTACACTTCCCTCCCTTTATCATCCAGTATTCTGTGGAATTAGAGTTGTAATACTAGCACAATCAGAATTTGTTTTTGACCAAAATAATCAGAAATTATACATAGTTGAATAACTTCAAAATCATGTCAGTTTCTAACTTTCTTTTGGTGTCGATACTGATTACTTAGGCACCTCTCAGCTTGCAGTACAATTGTGTGACATGAGTTTATTATTTAGATCCTGAGGTTTATTTATTGGTATAGGAGTGTTGCTAGAATTGCTTACTGCATCATGAATAGATCCTTCTTAGATGTAACCTTGGGCTTACTACATGCAGGTCAAGTCCTGGAAGTATCCATGGCCAAACCTTTGGCAGATAAGAAACCTGATCATTCACACAGGTCTGGAGGAGGCCCTAATTATCCTCTTCCTCCCTATGGTGGTGGCTACATGGGAGATCCGTATGGTGCTTATGGTGGCGGCGGTCCTGCATACAACCAGGTGATCCAACCTAATCATTCAGACAATCACATGTTCGCAATACTGCAATGTGTTATTTTGCTTTATTAACATAATACTTTTGGCAGCCAATGATTTATGGCAGAGGACCAGCACCAGCAGGAATGAGGATGGTGCCAATGGTGCTTCCCGATGGTCGCCTTGGCTATGTCCTGTAAGACCATTTGTCTACAACACAACACCCATCGAAGCTCAATGTCTGTCTAAGCACATATTTGCAGTTTGTGACAGCATGTTCTTCTGTTGACAGGCAACAACCTGGTGGAATGCCGCCTTCGCCCCCACCGCGGAGGGGTGGCGACCGAAGAGACAGTGGCAGAGGCGGCGAAGGGCACAGCCGGCGATATCGCCCTTACTAGCTTTGCCCTTGTGCGATCTACTCCCATCACCGTGTGAAGCATGTGCTAACTTATTATGAGATGAGATTGGAGCCTGTGTTCTTGTTCCAGTATAAGGTCTGCAATGGCACGATGCTTGTACCGTCTGTTTCTTCGGTAACTTCATTTTATCATGCAGCGCATGTGACTTGAAACTGTGATAGCCTTGTATTGCTTCCTGCCTTCTGGCACCTGTAGTAGTGAACTGATGAACGAAGTACCTGTGGACACTGAAGCTTTGTTGGCTTGAGTGATTATTTTGCTGTCTTCTATGGGTTGAGTCTTGAGTGTTGTTGGCCTTTATTTCACAGGAGATAATTTATGCCGAGATGAGCCAATGTCCTGCATCTTGGTGCAATAACATGAAACTAGAGTTGAAGCTAGCTTCTGTTTCTGAATTCTGGGTTTGGGTTTGGGTTTGTGTGATTAGTTAGCAGGACAAATGCACCGAACAGAACAAATTGAAGCCAAAAGTGGCGCGTGGACGCCAGGACTCCACCAGCCCCTGCTTTTAAACTATTAAAAAACGGTAATGCTACCGAGCATATATCTGCAATCCATCTTATTAAAAAAATCGAACACTTTGCTCCGGGGTCACTTCAGCATAGTGATCGGCTCAACAGATTCAACGCTCTCTTTTATCTACTCTATCAACCCTGTGACAGCCGATAGAAATCTCCAACTCCTCGCTCTGCTCGTCGTGGCTCACCGTGTTGTCTGCCCACTCTCTTTTATCTACTCTATCAACACTGCAACAGCCGACAAAAATCTCCAACTCGCTCTGCTCATCGCGGCTTACCGCGTTGTCCGCCCACATCCCGCGTCCAGCCGCGCCACGGTAGTAAATAACCAAATATAACACCGGGGCAAAGGATCAAATTGGTAAATTTTCTTATATCCTAGGGTGGGGGGGGCAGGTATCATATACGTCGCCAAAATAAAATGAGCTTTGCTCTTCTGGGCGCTGGGTGCTCCCGTGGTTCACGTACCGTACCGTAGTAGTTCTTGTGAATATCAATCTACGGCGTAGGGCTAGGCTGGCTTGCAAGATTCGCTTCGTCCGAATCAAACAGCAATGATTCAAAGCACGTCTTTTTCCATTACACTATTTCAAAAACCTAATGACTTGATCAAAAGGGTACCACAGAAGCTAAAAGGCAAGTTTTATAGGACGACGATTAGACCTGCTATGTTGTATGGTGCAGAATGCTAGCCTACGAAAAGACGACATGTTCAACCGATAAGTATCACGGAAATGCGTATGTTGCGTTGGATTTGTGGTCATACAAGAAGGGATCGAGTTCGAAATGATGATATACGTGATAGATGAGGGGTAGCACCAATTGAAGAAAAGCTTGTCCAACACCGGTTGAGATGATTTGGACATGTCCAACGAAGACCTCTAGAGGCACTGGTGCATAGTGGAATCTAAGGCGTCAACCTAGTTTTTAGTAGGCAATAAAAGGAGACTTGAAAGGATGAAATATACCCAAAGACTTAGCCTTAGATATGAGTGCTTGAAAAACAGTTATTAATGTGCCTGAACCTTGATTGCTTCTGCTGGGTTTCAACTCTAGCCTACCCCAACTTGTTTGGGACTTAAAGACTTTGTTGTTGTTGTTGTTGTTGTAAGGACTTGATCGCCGCGCCCATGCTTGCATAGCTCCAAGATCAGGCTCCTCAACCTATTTTCAGTAAGTCATCTGGTTAATAAAAATGAAACATTCATGACTGGATATTATTTGACAAATAAGCCCCCCGCCCTTGCGTGTCGTGCCCCGTCCCTTGCCGCGTCGATGTGCTGTCAACGCCGCCGTTCCCCACCAGCTGGTCGTGGCCGCTGTCGACGCCGGTGCCGCCGCGACGCTCGACCTCAGCTCGCGACATCACGAGATCCAGAGTGGCCTGACCGGGAGCGGGCTTCTCCGACGGTAGCTCGCGCTCCCTTCCTTCCTCGGATGTTGCAAGCCCGTGTTGCAAGCGTATGTTTCAAGCGTTTCATGTGTTTCGTATGCATGTTGCAAGTATTTCATGTGGATGTCGCAAAAGTAGATAGGGATGTTGCAATGGCTATACACGTATGTTGCAAGCGTCTCTTCCAAATATTTCAGCTGTTTCAGATGGATGTTGCATGTGTTTTATCTGGGTGTTGCATATGTTTCACACTTATGTTGCAAGTATTTTATTTAGGTGTTGCATATGTTTCACACTTATGTTGCAAGTGTTTTATTGAGATGTTGCATATGTTTTCAACACGTGTTTTCCTCGTGTTTCAGATGTATGTTGCTAATGTTTCTCTAGATATTACAAAAGTAGATCTAATGTTGCGCATGTTGCAGTGAACCCCATCTGCAGGTAGCCAGCCTCGCAATTGCTGGGCCTGCTTGCATGTGCGTGGGTGTGGAGGGGCGCGAGCGGCAAGCGTGGGAAACCGTGCAGCGTCAGATCGAGACGAATTGGGCGTGGGACACGGAATAGGCATGGGACACGGAGCGGCGCAGAACCCCACTTGAAATAGGTGTGCGGGGTGGGCGTCCGGGACTAGCCCCGTCCGGAGGCGCTAGCCTTTCCCTTTAAAAAATGTTGTTATGAAAAAATTCAACAAGTTCTACCACTTGCTGTATTCCGTAGACCGGGAGCTGCTGGCCTCATTTCTAAGCCCTACTTTTCTATCGGCTTAATTACAAAATGTCAAAATGGGGACACACAAGCACGATTTTTGAAGCCAAAGTCCAGTTTAAATGACTTCTGAAGCCAAAGTAAAGTTTAAATGGTGGCCGAAGACAAGAACGACTTCTTCTGAAGCTGAAGCCAAAATTAAGTAAAAAGTGGTGAAGTTGAAGCCATTTTAGGACAGAAACCAGAACCACCAAAATATGTCTTTTTATGATTTATCTGTTTTTAGAGAAGCCAAAGTCCGCACTGGAGATAATTTATGCGGAGCCACTGTCTTCTTTTATCTTGGTGCAACTGTTTGATATTTTTTTTGTGTGTGTTTGAACTGGAGGTGAAGCTAACTTGTTTCTGAATTCTGGTTTGTATGATTGAACGGCCTCTTGTTGACAAAGGATGAGTTCCACAGGACACTACTCAGAAAGTTGTTTTTATTTTCTATTTCGAATAAATTCCGCTAGCACAGTTGCAAATTTCAAAGGTTGTTTTCATGATTGAACACCTCTTGTTGATAAAGGATGAGTTCCACGGAACAACCGGTAGCTGTTTTATAGGCAGGGCCTGTTTGGAACGAAAGAATCCAAAACATAGGAATAGGAAAAAACGCAGGAATAAGGTATAATGAAAAGTGAAAAACTACGGGATTTTAAAACACAGGAACAGAAAATTTAGACTGTTTGAAACATAGGAATTTATAACTTAGGAATTGTAGTGCGTAGCTGCCTTGGACTTCCACACAGGAAAAGAAAACCAGAGGTCTGGATAGATGTTTCTTTTCCTGTGAAAGTTTGAAGATGGTACAGTATTCCGGAGGAAAGGAATTGGAGTTTTCCTTTGTTCCAAACGTTCCTCTCATCTTCCTTTCCTCTATTTTTGTTTCCTCCGCTTTTCCTACAAAAATCCTTTGATCCAAACACAGCCTTAGAAAGTTGATTTTACAAAAGAAATTCCAAGTAAATTCAACGAGCACACTCAAATTTTTTTCAAAGATTTTGTAGGTTGGATGATTTGGATATGATGTCTAAGGTCCTATTTGGATTCTGTGGTAACTTACTTAGCCCCCTTTGGAATGCGGAATTTTTTTTTTTTTGTTCTTGCATTTTTCTTGTAAAAAATGAACTGAATCACGTGAAATTCCTATAGAATTCCTGCGTTCCAAATGAGCCTTAATAAAGTTAGTAATTATCTTTAAACCATTTTAGGCCACCTCTGTGGTCTAATGAATTAATAATTTTTTTTGACACTAACTAAACTTTAGATATCACTTTATATCATCTGTTTGGAACCTTATGAGTTGTTTAGAAGTTTAGTGGCTAAACTCTAGAGCATGAGATCCAATTATCCAAAGTTCTAAAGGGACCCTAAAAGTTTGGATATGCTTTGAGTACAGAACTACGTAGAGATGAACCAAGTCTAGTAACCCAACAGGGAGTTGACACTTGACGCCATATCGTCGTGCAAAGACCATCGAAGCTCGGTCCGTGCAACGTGATAAATAGTACAATGAAATAAATACGTACGAGCGCAGGTCCATCCCCAAATCCGCCCCACTAGTACCGGCGAAATACGTCGGCAGACCCAGACCCGCACGACTGACGGGACCCAGATCCAGACTTTTGCACGACTGACGGGGCCCTCTCATCGGCGCAGCTCGAATCAAGCCTTTTGCCCCGGCGCTCCCACATTGTCAGAAAAAAACATTCCAACTAGATTTAAGGAGGAGTCACACAACACAACTAGACTAGGACACGGACACGACGATTCGACTCGTACCATACGACGCCTGGCAAACAGCAGCAGCATCCGCGTCAATACTTGGCGGTGCCGGCGAAGTAGGCGAGCACGCCGACGAGCGGCGCGTTGATGTAGGTGGCGGGCTCGGTCTGGCCGTAGCTATCGCGGTCGTCGACGAACCCGTCGTGCGCGTCGGGGCCACCCACGACGGCCCCCACCAGCAGGTTGGCGTCGGGCGCCGCCGAGTGCAGGTACGCGAACCCCTGGTCGCAGCCGATCCGAGCGGGTGGGCGCGCACCGACGGCAACGACGCGCCACGCTGTGGTGCAGCCGGCGCGGGTACCGGTCCCCGAACCCCACCATGAACGACGTGCCCGCCGGGTTCTTCCCCAGGATGTAGTCCACCTGCCGCTTCGCCAGCGCCACCAGCTCCGCCGGCGCCACCTCGCCGCCGCCGCAGGCCGCGGTGGCGCCGGCGGTGCGGAGGTACCTGGCGTACGCCAGCAGCAGGAACGTCGTCGTCGTCACGTACTGCATGTTGCTGTCGCCTTCCCTGTAGATGAGCCCGCCCGGCTTGTACTGCCCGGTGCCCGGCCTGGAACCCGCTGGCGCCCGGCACCAGCCACCAGCCACCAGCGAGCAGATGTAGCTGTCGGAGTGTGCCTTGTACAGCTGCAGCCCGGGGACGTTCTGCCTCCGGTCCCGCCGGAGGACGGCCCTCGCCAGCAGCACCTTGGTGCCGATGCGCTTGTCGTCCCAGCTAGAGCTGTAGTCGTCGTTCCCGGCGCCGTCCTGGGCGCCGTTGGCGCGCACGTACGCCATGAACGTCGCGTTCCCGGACGCGCGGTGCAGCCACGCGGCCGCCCACAGCAGCTCGTCCTCGTACCCTGAGTAGGAGCAGTAGAATGGACAAACCGCGGCGCCGAGCGTCCCCTCGCTGTATGACCCCCGGTGGCGGTCCGCGAGCTCGAACGCCACCACGGCGGCGCGGAGCAGGCTCGCCGCGTACCCCGGGTCGGCGCGGCGGAACGCGACGGCGGAGGCGGCTAGCGCCGCGGCCGTCTCGGCGGCCACGTCGGAGCCAGGGGTGGACGCGGTGACGGCGTACACGGCCCGCGGCGTGTCCATGTCCTCCGGCCGCTCCCAGCACTTGTCGTCCTGACCCGGGTCGCCCACCTGGACGTAGAGCGTCCCCGGGGTGGAGGTGGCGGCCTTGAGGAGGTAGTCGGCGCCCCAGCGCACTGCGGCGCGGGCGTGCGGGAGGTCGGAGCCCATGTACTTGCCGAAGTCCGCCACGCTCCATGCTAGCATCGTGGTGGTGAACGCCATTGGCAGGCCGAACTTCATGTTGTCGCCGGCGTCGTAGTACCCGCCCACCAGATCCACCTGCAGTGCACGCCGGCCGGATTATCGAGGTCGTCAGTCGTGCGTGCGTGGACAATGCGAGCGAGAGAGATGAGGAGGAGGTAGGAGCATTTGGCATTACGTTGTGCTGGTCGCCGTCGGTGAGGCCGGAGTCGCCGCGCCAGCGGATGCGGTTGCCCGGCGGCAGCTTGCCGGAGCGCTGGCCCTCGAAGTAGATGATGGACTTGGCGAGCGCGTCGGCGTAGTTGAAGGCCGCGGCGAGGCCCGGGGCGAGGAGGAGCAGCAGCAGGACGGCGCACTAGCTGAGCAGCCTGCTCCGGGGCTGCTCCATGGCTGATGGCTGGCTAGTGACAGTCGGGTCTCTGGAGCAGAGTGGGGAGGGGGGAGTGAGACTGTGATAGTCGCTGTCGCCTCCCTTTTTTAGAAGTAGAAGGGGAGCGGCCGGCAAAGACGGTTAAGTTAGTTGGAACCGAAGCTTTTTTTTGTGGCAAGACCGGTATCAGCTGCGTGAAAACGGGGAGTTGGGAGACATGATGCAGTGCAGTGCATGCAGGAGTTAACAGAGGAATCCCAAGAAGACCGCAAATTTGACCGGAGTGACTTTCGGCCGATTGTTTGGCCTGTACTAGCTCCTTTCTCGCAAAAAGAAAAATAGGCCATTTCCCAAGGCCACTAAAAATTCTTATTCTGCTTTTTTTATTTATTCTTTGTATTTGTATGTAACGAAGCCTTGTCTTCATTGTGTTTGGATCCTACCGTTGGTATTATCTCTTTGCCTCGACCTTGCACTATCTGCGAGATGCAGACAGGGCCAACGTGGGCAATGAGATTGAGCTGGAAAACCGTCGTGGTGTCCCCCTCCTAATCGGCTAATCCTGTGGGTTTGCTTTCGGGCCTGAATCGACGCCGTACTCCCTTCCCTGTTCCCTCCCGGCCTCTCCAAGGTGCCGGTGCGGCGGCCAACGTTGGCACGGGAGGAGAGGAGGGCTAGGGCGATCTATGGATGGTCGCTACTACTCGCTAGGGTCCCGGCGACCGGTCGGCTTTTCTTTCCAGTTCTCAATTTTCAATTTCAGTTGAAAAGCAGCAGCCAGAAGGCTGGCGGCAGGGTCCCATGCACGCAGTGTGTGTGCTGTAGCCTGTAGCGTGGCTGAACCAGGATCGCTAGAGACTGGAGAGTGTAAAGGCGACTACTAGCAAGCCCATGTTTAGTTGGCGAAGTTTGGAAATTTGATTACCGTAGCACTTTTATTTTTATTTAGCAATTAGTATTTAATCATAGACTAATTAGGTTCAAAATGTTCGTCTCGCAATTTTCTACCAAATTGTGCAATTAGTTTTTTTTTCCGTCTACATTTAATGCTCCATGCACGTATCGTAAGATTCGATGTGATGGATACTGTAGCATTTTTTGGGAAATTTTTTTAACTAAACACAGCGTAAATTGTTTTTTACTATAGCAATTCCGTGACCATCTACAGTATCACATGACCATTGACCACATGCCTGCCTCTCTCCCCCTCTCTCCTGCGGCTCTGCAATGTGCATGCCGTGATGGATGAGGGATGCATCCCTTTTCACCGGCCAATCGCGCAACGCAACGCAAGCAGCTTGGGACTTCAGCACAAGCTTTTTGCTCGTTCCCAAATGCCTCTGGCTCTATTTTCAACCGGTAGGGCATGTTTGATCCAGGGGTCTTAAAAGAAAATTTTGAAGAAATGTATTCCAAGAAAAGGAATCATTTCATAGTGTTCTTTTTTGACAATAATATCATTTCATAGTGTTAGTAATGAAGGGATGTTGAGTTCCTTTTCAAAGGAAAGAAAAATCATAGTAGTGCTGTGGGGTATGTCCTCCGGTATCCACAAAACAAGACATGAGCCGCACCATTAGAGGTGGCCCAGCCCACAAGATCAAAGCGTGCACGGCGCTGCTCGGCGTGTACTGTAAGATATTATATAGTACAAAATATGCTACTTTACTTGTAACCCTACCTCTCCAGAGTATATAAGGAGAGGCAGGGGTCCTCTGGTGGACAAGATCTATCTACTACATTTTAATACAATACACCAAAAACACATGACGTAGGGTATTACGTCGATCAGACGGTCTGAACCTATCTAAATCGCTGCCTCTGCGTCTTGTGTCACCATATGGTTCCTGGTTACGCGTACCTTCACCGACAAATCTATCATCACGGGATACCCCTCGGTGAATTGCCGATGATATTCTGTCGACAGTTGACGCACCAAGTAGAGGCTGTGCGTGCTGATCCATGGCGAACCAGACGGTGCACCTCATCGTCAACCAGCACTTTCTCGACGACGGCCCGTGCCTTCGAACTGTTCGTACGAGCCGACGTTGGGCAAGGCTTCACCACGTTCACGTGCCGGATCGTGTTCAGGGCGGCGTCCGTGCGGTTCTCCCGTGGCGATGCTGCTTTGCACGTGATTCAGATGTGTTTTCCAATATGAAGCCGGCGGTGGCTCGTGGAATTCGGGACATCCTCAGCACCACGTGCAAGCAGATGGATTTCAACAAGACTGCAAGCAAAGCGGTGCTGTGCTATCAGATGGTACATGCAACCATTGAAGGACGCATGGCCTACAGCCGCATGCATGCAACCTCGTCATCGGCGTCTTCTCCGACTTAGCCGACCCGCCGAGGACTCGGCAGCGCGACTACGTGGCGTTTGTACTCCGGGCCGCATCCACACGGGAGTCCTACTCCAATTCGAATCGAACACAACGTGCAGCAGAGATCTCCATGGAAGCAAATCTGCATGCATGCAAGCAAATAAGGAAGAAGTTACGTGTACATCTACATGCAGGCCAACTACATATCGCTGCGGGGCTTGCATGTGCACATGCACATATGGCATCAAGCACGCTTGGGCCACGCCCTATCTACTCCCTAACAGCATCGTCTCTCTGACCAGTCAATGATCTCACCGAATCTCCTAAAGCCGATCACTAATATAAGAACGACGTCGCCCGGACTACTTACTCCGATCACCTGCCGCGTCACAACGATGGTCGCCGCGAAGAATGGCGCCATGACGACCGCGACCGCCACCATGACGACAATTCGAAAAGCTCGAGCGCCGGGCAATTTCGTCAACGTCGACCAGATAACGCCATACGTCGCCGACCAGACGCTCCGTCCAAAGCTAAGTCACGTTTTAATATTCTTCTAAATATTCTCCAATCTCCGTATATCGCCATAATGTTTCTCTGAATTGTTTTCTCCATATTTACTCTCCAAACGATTTTTCGAACCCTCGAACAGTCACGTTGATGCTCGGACGCCTCCAGAGACGGCCTTGTCTCCGGCTCCTCCCTACACGTGCTACGGGCTCCGCACTCTGCATTATGGGTGGTCGGCAGCGGCTCCTTGGTCACGCCTGTTTCTCCTACACGTGCACGAGCTTCGCGCTCCGCGTTATGGTTAACGGACTAGCTAGGGCTAGAAATTCAGCTACATACTAACTGTTCGGGCGATTTATATTAAATATAAATATATCTTCATACCAACTGATTATCGAGCTGCATACACTATTTCATCGTCATTGCTGATTTTTCTCCGGAATTCATATATTTTTATATCATGCACTACCCGTTCTATATATTTTTATTGCAGGATCATCGTCCAGGTGATCGGACCACCTGGTGCTCGGGCTTCTCCACTGATCAACTGGTCGGACCGCTTAGTTCATGGACTCCGTCGCCGACCAGTTGATCGGACTGTTCGTCGATCGCTTCTACTCAATGCTCACTTCGCCGCCGACCAGGTGACCAGACTGTTTGTCGCTCGTGCTTCATCGCCAGCTACGCCGGGAACTCCTCGGCGCGCGGGTTCTTCGTGCTCGAGGACTAAGTGGGCACACTTCACCGCACAGACATCGCCAGCTACGCCGGGGACTCCTCGGTGCTCGGACATCGCCAGCTACGCCGGGGACTCCTGGGTGCTCGGACATCGCCAGCTATGCCGGGTACTTCTCGCTCCTCGGTGCTCGGACATCGCCAGCGACGCCGGGGACTCCTCGCTCCTCGGTGCTCGGACATCGCCAGCGACGCCGGGGACTCCCTCGCTCCTCGGTGCTCGGACATCGCCAGCGACGCCGGGGACTCCTCGCTCCTCGGTGCTCGGTCATCATCAGCGATGCCAGGGACTCCTCGCTCTTCGGTGCTCGGACATTGCCTGCGATGCCGGGGACTCCCTTGCTGCTCGGATCTTGCTACGTCTCATTAGTGTGCTATCAAGCTGTCCCATGCTGTTCGGATCAGGGTGCTGATCTTGGGCAGCACGTCTGGGGTCTTGATACGCGCATGTCGGATGACGTCGGCAAGCTTTCAGACTTTTTTCTTCGACCCTGCTACAAGATTCATTCTTTATCTTCCAGCAGGCTCGGGGACTAAGTGGGCACACTTCACCTTACGGTGAATGTGCGCTTTTCTTATCTCGAGGCTACGCCCGGGGATTGGCTGCCTGCTCGGCTGGTCTTCTACTTTCTGACCCAAACACCACGTGACTACGTCACCTACTGTTAGGCTCGGGGACTAGCTGTGGGGGTATGGCCCCCGGTATACATAAGACAGGACATGGGCCGCACCATCAGAGGTGGCCCAGCCCACAAGATCAAGGCGTGCACCGCAAGTTATTGTATAGTACCAAATAGGATACTTTACTTGTAACCCTACCCCTCCAGAGTATATAAGGAGAGGCAGGGGTCCCCTAGTGGACAAGATATATCTACTACATCTCAATACAATACACCAAAGACACATGACGTATGGTATTACGTCGATCAGACGGTCTGAACCTGTCTAAATCGCTGTCTTTGCGCCTTATGTCACCATTTGATTCCTGATTACGCGCACCTCCACCGACAAATCTATCATCGTGGGATACCTCTCGGTGGACTGCCGACGATATTCTGTTGACAAGTGCAAAATGTAGGAAATAAAACATCAACCAAAGAG